GGCGATGAAGCCTGGGGTTGGCCTGCGTACCCATTGTTTAGAGTTCGTGGCAGGTTTCAGGGTTCGAGAGGTTTAGGGTTCAGCTTAGGGTTTGGGACTTTAGGGCTCCCAGGAACCTTTGAGGGTTTAGGCTAGCTTAAGGTTCGACGGTTCTTTCGAACCCACAGACTGTATGCAACCTCTTCCCTAAAGGAGCCTCAACCCTAAACCCTAAACCTCAACCCTAGGAGGAAAAAGGTGCTTAAGAAAAAGACTCAACCCTACAAATCCCTACAAGCCCCCAGCAAACCTCGGGGAAATTGCAGTCGCAAGCCCAAGGCCACAGGCTCTCCAGGACCATCCTGGAAGGGCCCCGAAACTCAAAGCTCTACTGTAGGGGCCCAGGACCCCCCAATGGCCCTTTAATAGAGCCCTTATGGTCCCTAATAGTAGGCATTTGGGGTATAATAGAGGGTAGTTGGGGGGTCTAGGGCCTTAGCAATTAGAGTCGGGTTTTGGGGGGTTCCTTATCAAAGTTTAGTATAATTGACCCCAAAACCGTATTACGTCCATAGCCAGTACAGAAACACATCATAGTAGCATCCTTCTAATGTATTTTGCGGTATATTCCCTCGGCACTTCGGGCCTGAACTTGTGATGTTCTCGGTTTAGGGTTTAGGGTTTAGGGTTTAGGGTTTAGGGTTTCTTCTTATCTGAGATTTCGGTTGCTTTGGGGGGTCTGAAATTTGGGACCGGAGGGGGTTTTTGAGTTGATGCTTTTTCTTAGGGAGCGCAGGCCATCATTGGCCTTCAAGGGCTTCTAGAAGGATTCTACAAGGGTTCTATAAGAATTGGGTTCTACCTCGTAAGCCCTTCCCCTCCCCCGGCCCTAAAGACCTGAACCCTAGATGGAAGTTTCCGAAAATAAGGGGTACCTTATTTGGGGGTCCTTATAATAAGCATCCTAGTATTTAGGGTACGATATTAGGGTCCCCTATTTTCGGAAACCCCCAAATCACGCCAGCAAAAAGCGAAGACAGGAGCTCGCCAGCCGAATTCAAGGACTTCGGGACCGCATCGCCAGGAGCCGGTGGCTGGAACCCAGAGAGCCCGATCCTCCCAACAAGGCCCTCAGAGTTATTTGCGGATAGATAGCAAGATTGAAAGAGTTGTGGGTAATTCATCGGGGTCCAAGACGGCTCAATGCCCATGAACTGAGGAATAGTCGTTGAAATCTCAGGGTTTTTTCTTATGTGGTCAAGGTATATATCAGGGGAATGGGGACTTTGATACGAACATGTTGTGAAACCCCATCCTTACTATCAGGACCCCCTACAAGAGCCCCTATGAAGCTCGACTAGAAAACCGCATGAGACCGTATGAAAAGCTCGTCAACTCCCATTTTGTCAGGATCGCAGAGAAGGGCGGAGATGCTACTGGTGAAGCATGGCTCCTGAGCAGCAGGACAAACTTGTTCATCAAGTGTTGCTGTATAGGACTTTCTATGGGTTTGATAGGGAATCAGTGCATGCGTGCGTGAGTGAGTGAGTGAGTAAGTGCGTGAGTGTAGGTGGAGGCGGGTGTTGTGAGAATTTCGTTTGTCAATTTCAATGCCTTGACTACTCGACCTGAGCCTTTTGTTTCGGGTTTTTGTTTGGGAAGAGCGTTTAACGTAAAGAATTTGTATTATGGGCGGTTCCTCATGGTTTCCATTTATACAACTCAAGCTTTACACCGTTCTCAGAGTTTCAGCTGGTGCAGGCTCGACCTGCGGCTGGTATGGACAAAGCTTGAATGTTTTGTGATCCCTATAGACACTATGTCTGAAGTGGTCATTATAGAGCGGTGTTACGGTGAGTGTATAGTCTAGTAGGTCTGCCCAGGGTATCGGTGAGTGTACGTTTCGGTCGATCTTCGTGGCTTACCATCAGTTTAGGATTGAAGGATGTGGGAGTTATGGCTTTATAAGAGGGGAGATCTTTGTTTTTCACTGTTCCGAAAAGTCCAAGCAACAATCCTTCCCCTCCCACCCCCTTGACGAAGACTTACAACACCGATATTGAAATTGCAAAACCTTAACCTGCAACTCTTCAACGCCTAGAATCTGGGGCCTCAAGAAGTCCCTAGCAATTAGGGCTTCCTTCTCATGACTTTATAGCATCTCATACGCCCAAAAAACCCAGGGCCCCAGTACATTGGGCTCTCTTTAAATTCTGAACCAAGGAAGTTGGGGACTTAATGAAGCCCTGAACCCTAAACCACCCATTTTGGGGGGATCTAAGAAGCCCTACACCCTAGACTTCCCTAAACCCCAACACCCTAAACAAACGAACCCCTAACCCCAAGCAATTAAACCATCATCCCAAATCAAAAAAAATACTACTCCGTCCTCCCTGGGCATCTTTCAATTCTGAGTTCACTCCTTTCGTTCTCTTTGATCCGAGGCGCATGGGCGACCTTATGGCTGAAGCTGCGTTTCTTGGCTCTCCCATGCTGGAGGTTTCTTAAAAGGGTTTAGGGTTTAGGGAGGGTAAGCAGTAAAGCTGCTGGGCTTCAGAGGCGACCGACTCCAGGCGAAGTACGAAGCCTGTTGCAAAAGGGAGGGTAAGGAGGAGTTTATAGGGGTTTAGGCTGCTAAGGTGCTTTTGGCTGGTAGTGTTCTTGAAATCAGATCCTTTAGTTTGCTCGCGTTACCTGGAATAACGGAGTATCGGGCTACTTCTCTACGTCTTATATGATTAGTAACCTGCCGTTTTAGGTTACTGGAGCTGCAGGGCATAATAAGGAGGAGTTCACGGCGGCTTTGGGCTTGAAGCTTTGTGGGCTTTCCTTAACAGCGAGGAAGCGTTTTCCGCAGGGTTTCTGTGAGGATGCTGCGAGGGCTGGCATGGTTTGGTGGAGGTTTCTGCATCTGTAGCCCGCGGGTACACTTTTTGCACGGCTCAAGGAACCCGGCAAGGAACCTTACGTGAGAACCCTTAGGAAGCCTGAAAATTCGGAGTTGGGGATTTGTTACCATCGGGCTGCACCACAGGGTTTAGATACTTGAACTATGACTTTGAGTACCTGGGTTGTAGAAGGCTTTGTTGTTATGCCCTAAAAACTCCCGAGTCTGTCTCCTCAGAAAAGGATCAAAACAAGCTGTCTAAGCACCGAGCCCACATCAAGTCACAAAGCTTTCGGGCTGAGAGTTTAGCGCCCCTTTTTTGCGAGACCGTCGAAGACCATGCCTTACACCCAGCTCTCAACCAGCACTGCGCCAATGTGATGACGCCTTATGGACGCTGTCCCTAAAACATAGTCGCACACACATACACAACAAGATTACTTATTCATTAAGCTTGACCCCTGAAGCTCTACACCCTACTATAGAGGCCTTATAATTAGAAAAAAGGCTTTTGGGGCCCAATATACTGTAATTAGAAGAAGGATCTCCCAAAATAGTATGTATATATATATATATATATTTATTTATTTATTTATTTACATATATTTGCTTATATTTATCCGTATACTTATTTAGGCCCCTATACTCATAAAGCCAAGAAGCTGTGTGGAGTCAGGCAAGCAGAGGAGCTCCAAGCAGCTACCCGGAAGACGATGCAGCGCCTCTGCTCCACAGTTCATTCCGAGCGTTCGGGCTTAGGGATGTTTGGGACTTTGGGGTTTAGAAGTCCCAGCTCAAAAGGGTTTATAGAAGCGCTTTAGCACATGTTTTGGGTTTCTAAAACTTCGCTGTAATTTCGGGGCTTCTAAAGCTTCCTTGTAGTTTCGGCTTCTGTTTTTATGCGGCGGAGTTCCTCGTCGTGCGCAGCCTACTTTTCAGGGTCTATGATATGGTGCTTGAATAAACCTCGTCGAAGTTTTCAGGTGTGATGAGATGGCTGCTTGACACGCGGTTTCGAGCTTCGGGGCGTTTTCTTGCAGGATCTCTGACGAAAGCTGCCCCGGTCTGGTGAAACGGCGTCGTTGAAGGTTCAAGAGACGTGCACGCTTCAAAAGGGCTTTGGATGGCCTTAATTAGGCTGTGAAATAAATGAAGTCTAAACCCTAAGTCAAAAAACCCTAACTCCTAAGCCGTTTCGAGTTCCGAGTTTGGAAGCCTTGTCAATGTAAAACCCCACTCCTTACTAGAACACAAGGGGCCCGTCTACTATATATGTCTGAAGAATTATCAATACTTTGTTCTTAGGGTTCCTGAATATAGCTATACAGTGCGATACCTGAAAGCCCCAGTCTAAGTAGTAAGGCCCCGGTAGCATGCCCTTATTGCAGGCATCGTCTCCATGTCGCAAAGTTGGTGAAGGACCGGACCCTTTCGGGTTTAGAGTTTGCAGGGCTTTCGATTAGGTATTGGAAGGCTTTGGTCAGGTCGTGGTTTGTTTGTTGCGCGTTGCATAAATCAGGAAAGAACGAAAAGGTTGCTGAATCCACACAAATGTGAGTCGAATTGGAGGATCATGTTGGGAGAGTGCACGTCGACAGGTTTCATGTAGCGAGGTGTTGTGCGTGTCTGGTAAAGTTTTCTGACTGAGGGCTGCGGCTTCAAACATGGGGCCCGACATATGGTGACCGAACCCAAGCACCCTCCAGAACGAAACAAAACTCCGAAGCCCCAAGCCGAAAACCCTGAACCTGCACAACAAAGAGCAGCGAAAATCCAACAACGAGGACCAGCAAGCTAGACGGAAGAAGCAAAGGGACCTGCTGCGATCTCAGAATTTTCCAGTTGGGAGGAGGAGGCTTCGTTTTAGGGTAGAGCTCTCGTTGACAGCTTGAAGGGGTAGTCACAAAAAGGCCTGTTGCACAAGCGTCAAGGTGCTTAGGGTTTGAGGTGTGTTCTGATTTCAGACTTCTTTTTTGACACCTGCTGTGGAGCGTGTGGATCAAGATTCATGCTGTCTCCCGGCCCGATCGGTCACATGAGCTCCTTGTTATCGAAATAGGCTCCAGTGCTACTACACTGTATGCAGATGTATGCAGATGTATGCAGTATACAGCAGTGTCGCGCTCGCACAGCCATGGCGGAAATCGCAGTGATTGGGTCCTGCATGGTGGACCTCATCGCTTACACCGAGAGCATCCCCAAGGCCGGCGAGACGCTGGTGGCCAAGGACTGTCATGGGCCCTTGTAGGGAATGGGGGAATGGATCATTATGATAGTCCCGTATAAAGTCCCTTATAGTAGTCCCTTATAGTAGTCCCTTAAGGTCCCTTATCGTAGTCCCTATGATTGTCCCTCAAGGTCCCTCATAGTAGTCCCTATAACCCATGCCCCCATTCCCGACTAAGCAGACAGAGGACTTTGCCATGGGCTGCGGCGGCAAAGGCGCCAACCAGGCGGTGGCCGCGTCTCGGCTCGGGGCTCCGGTGCTGATGATGGCCCGCGTCGGCGACGACGCCTTCGCTGACAACACGCTGGCGAACTTCGAGAAGAACGGCGTAAGCACCGAATTCGTGGCCAAGGTGCCCGGCGTGTCCAGCGGCGTTGCGCCGATTTGGGTCGATGCGGACTCGCAGAATCGCATCCTGATCATTCCTGGGGCGAACATGCACCTGAGGCCGGCGGACATTGCCGCGGCCGGCGAGCGTCTGTCGAAGTGCGCAATGATCATCCTCCAGCTCGAGATATCCCTGGACACAGTCTATGCTGCGATCGATTTCGGTAATGAGCATGGCATCCCCGTGCTCCTCAATCCGGCGCCGGCAAGCAAGGACCTGGACATCGACCATGCATGCCGCTGCGACTTCTTCGTGCCCAATGAAACCGAACTCGAAATCCTCACCGGCATGCCTGTCGGCAACGACGACGAAATTGCAGCAGCCGCATCCTCGCTGCTGGCCCGTGGCCTGAAGAACCTGATCGTAACCCTAGGCGACAAGGGCGCCCTGTGGATGCACGGCGACGAGCGCCAGCACATCGCCGCGCCCAGCGTGGCGGCGGTTGACACCACCGGTGCAGGCGATGCCTTCATCGGCTGTTTCGCGGCGCAGATGGGCAAGGGCGTGAGCATTGAGGCCGCCATCGGCGAGGCCATCCAGTACGCGTCCCACAGCGTGACCGGGAAGGGTACGCAGACTTCCTATGCCACGGCCGAGGAGTTTGCTGCCTTCAAGGGCTGAGCACGTCGCACCAGTGTTCGCAGTGGGGCAGCCTTGCATTAGCGATTGCGGGTTCTAGGTGTGGACTTCTGACAGTGCCTGCAAAACTCGGAGGGTGCATTTGTTTGTCTATGTGTGAGTGCTTTTGTTTCTCTGCGTCTCCTAACGGTACGACGTCGCAGCACCCGAAGGCGCGGCAGAGTAAGGCCATCTGGTTGCTGCAATTGAAGCCTGGCGGGGAAATATTATACTCAAAAGTTAAAACCACTGCATTTGGCAATTGGGGTTTCGAGATTTGCCCAAGGCCCTAAACTCCAAACCCCTAAACCGAAGCCCTTAAACCCAAAGCCCTTAAACCCCCTCCGAAAACCCTAAATTCCATTAAACCCTTACGCCCAGTAGGATCCTCGTGATACCCAGTACGGATCCTTCCGTGAGGACGCAGCAAAAATGCACACTCAACACACCTTCGCCGTCTCAGCAATCAAAGAAGTGATCAGCTTTTGCCGTCTTGCTTGGGCTAGCCTCCACCCCAGTTATTCCAAAAGAGCCTTAAGCCCCAAATCTAAATTATTTCCAAATACTGCGAAGAATAAACACCCGAAAGCCCTCAAACCCTCGGCCTATAGCCCCCAAGTGTGAACCCTAATCCCTAAACCTTTCCCGAAAAAGCTTCTCCCCAAGCCGACTGCCTGAGACCCTTTGCCCTTTTATGTATCCAAAAGCCCAAACACCATTCCGTATAGCCTGAGGCCCATAAGCTGTTGAATATTGGCCAAAGTGTCCAAGGATGAATGAATTCAAGTGGCTGACGCAGGAGGCATCGCAGCAGGTATCGCCTCTTTTGCTGACTTAGGGTTTTTTCAAATCAGGGGCTGCTTAATCCAGGATCCTTGGACTCCTTCATCTCCTGCATACTGGGTGTAGAGATGCGAGTTGCATGGTTTGGGATCGGGTTGAGGCTTCAGGACTTACGGTTTAGGGTCTCGGTCCTGTAGCCCCAAACCCTTATAAAGCAGGGGGCTTAATAATTAGCATAGGATTTCGGGAAACATTATACTGCAGTTATGATAATGAGCCCCAAAACCCTGTTCTAATTATTCAGGCCCCTACATTCAAATAGTAGGTAACCCATACAACATTGGAGTTCTGGGAAGAGGTTCAGAGCAAGCCAGCACGCCGACCGTTCGAAGCCCTACTTGGTCGATATTTGGGATCAAGGTTAAATTTCCTGTATTGTTTAGCTTCATATAGAACCCCAGCTACGAATGATTCTGGGGATTGTTGAAATTGACAAATAGCCTACAATCTGAAGCCCTGCACACCTAGCCCCAACCACAACGCAGGCCCGAGTTCAGATATTCGGGGCTACCGTGGGATGGTATCAGGCTCTAGAGCTGGCGCGCAGTACACCCTCCTGGATAACGTAAACCGCCAAATCCCCAGTTGGTCCCCTTAGCCACGAAAACCTGCAACAATGGGAACGAGAAGCGGCAGCTACTGAAACCTACCCCCATGTGGCCTCCCTGACGAAATTAGGTGCGCTTCTTCTTGTTGCTGAAGGGGGCGGGGGCGCGGTGCTCCTAAGGAAGGCCCCATCTGAAGCGTCAGACATCGGCCACCTGCCCTCCATGGGTGCCGCTCTTTCCGAGAAGGCGCCCGGTGACCGGTGGCTCCTTAGGAATCATTCCTCGAATCTATCCTAGCATAGGCCCAAAAGGCTATTCGGAATTGTGGCTCTGGGTTGTGTTCAGGCTTTCTTCCGGCGGTTGAGGCTTGTTGATGGTTTGTGGCTTCGGGTTTCAGCATGGGATTCAGGGTTTCATTTGCCGCGTTGAGGGTGCGTGGCTTCTGGGATGAAGAATTGTGGTATGCAGGGCTCGAGGATATGATTCTCAGGCCTGTATATACTAGGAGTTTCGGGCTCATAGGGGTGTAGCATTCATGGCTCAAGCCTTCAAAGAGCTTTGGGGCTTGGTTTGGAGATTCTCGGGTTGTAGAGGCGCTAAATGAAGCTCTCCGGGCGCTTGGCTGCGCTTGTTGGGGGGGTTTTGGGTCCGTCGTTGCTGCATGTCGCAGTTGAAGTACGAGTGCGTGGTTAAGTCCTGCCCCCAGAGCAAACTCCAAACCCTGCTGCCTCAAAGGCCCTACCCGCCCAACCCTTGCGCCCTCTATGTTCCGGCTTTGGAACGAACTCAGTCTCTGGAGATTGCATACTCTTGTTGGAAGGCCATTAGTGGTCAAAGCCGCAGCAGGGCGGATCAGCCCTGCTACGTGTAGATTATGGGCTTGGAAGCCGCCTCGAAGATGCTTGGACACCCCAAAAAGAACTCCGGTTTCACTTGCCTTACCGCCGCGAGGAGGTTGGACGGACTGTGAGTGGTGGAAGCACTGGGCGACAGAAGCTAGGCTTCAATTTGTGATATCGTTTCAATTCTGCAATATGCTCTCTCCTTGAGATACCCAGAACCCCTTGCGAGGCCTTAAAGCTGCATCTACATTTCAGATCCTTGAAGTCTCAGAACCTGCCCACAAGGAAGAGACGCCTCATATTAATCACAACCCCCCCCCCGATGTTGGAAGCCTGCGAACTACCAAGCCGTAAACCCCGAAACCCCCACCTTAAACACTAAACCTAAACGCCAAATGCTGAACCCTGGCCTAAACGCTAAACCCAAAAAACGAAAGCCCGAAACCCAAACACCCAAAGCCTAAGAGCCCTACACTAAAATCCTTAAATCTTAAACAAACCTAAGAACCCGAAGAGCCCTACCTAAAAAAACCCTAAGCCCACAAAACAAAGCCCAGGAAGTCAAAGCTTTCCAATCACCGGACCTCCTCTCGCCAATCCTCGCGGCAAGCGAGCTTCTCCCGTCAGATCACTCCCGGGCCACTCGGGAGCCGTATATTATAGGGGCTTTAAGAGATACCTGTTTGATCTTGGGGTCTCCTTATTATAATTGTACTGTAAAAGAGCCCGAAACCCTATTCTAATTAGTATGGCCCCTGCAGCATACCCTAAACTCTGCACCCAAAGCCCTGGCCCGAAGCTCCAAGCCCTTAATCCTACACCAAGAACACTAAACCTTAAACCCTAAACCCTGACCAAACCCTAAACGGGCTATGCTTCCGTATTGAATGTTTGGAAAGAGGACGTCGGCAGCTGGGGTTGGGGGGACTCGTCTGGAGAGCTACGTTGGAGGTCCCACAGTCAAGAAGCCTCCAAACAGATCTGTTGATGTAACCGCAGGGTTTTACGGGTTTGGGGTTTGGAGAGTTTAGGAGTTTGGGGTTTAGTGTTTAGGGTGACTGTATTGTGTCTTTGTTTGATGCAGGGCTGTATGAAATCATGCAGTGCTGCTTCCCAGCTGATCAACAGAGTCTGGGTTCAAAAAAAAAGTGTTTAGGGCTTAGGGACCGCAATCCCTAAACCTTAAACCCAGCTGATTTAGGTGCCTAGTCAATCTCTACGCCCTGGTCCGTCTCGCGATCCCCTACAACACATTCCCTCGACCTACTTCAGCTATCAAACACCCCTAGGCCCTGCGCTCTTCATGAACGCAACTATGTTGCTCCTCCAAAGCTCGTTAGGCTGACAGAATGTGGAATGCGCACGTATGCCTGCAATTGCTCATGTTGAACGCTCGCATGTTTACATACGACATACGCATTAATACAAGCATAGTGGAGATGTCTGTGTGTGTATATATATACACAGACAGATAGTTGTTCATACACTTGTAGCTGCGTGTGGTGTTTCGTTTACGATGCTCCGATCTGTGCGTGTTTTGTGCACATACGCAGGTTTACAGAAAAGCTATACATATACCCGTCGACGTGAACAGGGACTTTCACTATACAGAGTGCCCATAAGACGCCAGCCTGCGAAGCCACAAGTTGCGCATGTTTACCGTGGAGAGCAGCCCGGAGAAAGACTCATTACGCTTCCTAGGTCCTATAGGGTTTCGGGTTCAGAGACGGAGCATAGATTCATGAAGCCTCCTTATCTCAAGTTCGACACCACCACCACGAAACAAAGGTCGGACCGATTGGAGAAGGATCTGGCTGTTCGATCACGGCTTGCCGCATTTTGGCAGCCGATCGGACGTGTAGGCTTTCGCCATTGCCCAATCCGATCCCCCGCCCAACACTGTAAACCCTCGAACTGTCTATTCACGGTTGGAGCGGTGGTCAGTGGTCAAATATTCCAGGGCAGGCTTAAGCGTCACCGCAGAACCCCTTTGAGCTATTCAATGCGAGGTGTCGGCGTGTGATTTTCGTGTTTTGCTGTGGTTGATGCAGGGCATCGCGCATGAAAGTAATGATGAATGCAGCGGCAGTAATAGTAGTAGTCGTCGTCGTAGTAGTCGTCGTCGTCGTCGTGGTGGTGGTGGTGGTGGGGGTGTAGTAGTATAGTACTGTAGTACTGTAGAACCACAAGTAGGCACCACCATGCCCCAAACCCAAATACCCTAGGCCCTAAACCCCACGTGTCCTGAAGCTAGCCGATCTGCACATCTTGTTCATCTGCAAGATTAAGCTGTATCGGGGGGGCCCGAGCTTTGAACACCATGATTCGGGCCAGAAATGATCTGACATCAGTTGGATGTTGGAATGGATCCTTCAACATGTGGTTCTCAAGAGCCACTCAAGATCAGCATCTTCAGTTGGGGCTCTTCAGCGAGCCCGCTGTGGCTTTGATCAAGGACAAGTTCGTGGGTGATCGGGCGCTCACTGGCTTCAGTCTCTTTCCACTGAAGGAGGCAAGAGCTACTTTTGACGCATCATGTCTCGTCTACCTGTGTTTCGACTTGGGCAACTTCAACGAAAATTTTTGGATGTTGGGCCGCCCATCACGTCCTGCACAGTGACAGGCAGATGCCGGCGCAGATTGTGACTGCTGCTCTGTACAGCTTGGCCAGGCTTGAATTGTCAAGCCCCTCCGGCGTTGTGGCATGGAGATGTTCAAGTTGGAATTTGCAATTTGAAATTGGTCTTGGGTATGCTGCATGATGAGTTTT